GCGGTTGATTTGTCTACCCGAAGTCCAGCAAGGGCTAGTTTTTTATTTTTTTTAAAAAAATGTTTTGTTAATTAAATTTGGAACATCGACAATTTATTTGGTTGGTCTGATCAAATCATTGTGATATTCGATTGGGTGAATTTTTTTTTTTTAAAAACTAAAATTTTAAAGATTTCCTAAAAATATAAAAAAAATTAAAAAATATTATTTTAAAATAAACCTGGCGTAACCTATCAACTCATAAATTACTCTACAAATACATAATTCGAGCTGTTTCGAGAACCATGTTCCCGCTGACGACATCGGGAGTGAAACTTACAGTATCTCTGTTTATGGAAACACATTATAAAATTTTTAGTGGTTGCCAACTTGAACCCAGAGTCCTTCCTTATGAACAAGAGGGTCGCTTATAAATTTATTAGGCCTGTTTCAATGTCAATTTTCTCTTGTTTTGAAGAAACAACATTCTACGGGTGACTCGAGAGAACTAAAGCCAAGTCTTTGTCAAACAAGAGGCCGCATTTGAATAATAAAAAAGGCCCCTTTCTGAAATGGTTTAAACCTAGGGCTTCTTTCTTTGACTTGGACAAAGGAATCCCTATAAAGGCTACCTCCATGAACATGGAGCACTGTCCGGCTTCTGAAACATACAGTAGACTATGATTAGAATACTCATTAGTTCAAACTTCAAAGTAAATTATAAAGGTTTTTTTTTTTGGAAGTGGACAACACTGTCTTCTTTTAAGGTAACAAGGTAATTTTATTTTTTCTTTCTAATTGTAGTTTATTATTCTTAATTATCACTTCGAATCAATTAATTAAATTATAAAAAATAAGATAATATTGTTATGGCACAATAAATAAATCCACTTAACAATTCATAATAAGTGAATACCATTTTTTTTAGATGACAAGACCTTTTGAGTCATTTTTAAGGTAATAGATTAGTGTTAGTAATTACCATAATCATGAAACAACTAGCTAGACAATACAAAAAAAAGTAATTATTTACACAATAGCTGTAACTCAAAAAAAAAAATTTAAAGATATAATAATGGTTATTTTTAAAAATATTTTTTATTAAAAAACACATTAGAATACTTTTTTTAAAAAAATATTTTTTATATCAACATATCAAAATGATATAAACATATAACAAAAATTATACAATACTAAATAAAGCAAAAACTTTATTCCAGAGCATAATTATTAAATACGAATTGGTTTGACTGGTCGACCTAAGATTTAATGACTAGAAAGGTCTAGTAACTCAAAAGATTGGGATGAGAAAAAACCCAGCAAAATCTAATTAACTCGGCAAAACCCGATTGAAACCCAATTTTTTTTTTAAATGTGTTTTTTCTCTTAGCTAAAGACCCCCCCACACATATTAGTTGATTATTAACTATTTTTAAAGTTTATTATATAAATATTAGAAGAATTTTTTATTTTTTCAATATGCGTTTGAAACCTTTTAGTATATATATTTTATGTTTACAAGAAAAAAATTTATTTTTTCAATGTAAAATTTGAAACTCTTTGTTATATATATTATATATTCAAAAGAAAAAACTTGTGTTTTCTAATATAGGATAAGTATTTTTTTAATTTAAATATTTTAACTTAAAAGAATAATCAACTAACATAATCGACTAATATAGTATCTTTTTTTATGTGAAATAAAAAAAATAAAAAACCTTTTAAAATAATCTTTTAAAATTTATTATTTATAATATATATAATTTATGTTCATATAGATTATTTAATTATTTAATATAAAATATTTAATTTAATTTTTTTAATTTTTTAGATTAATTCAGATTAACCTATATAACCAAGGTCAACTTGTGTAGTTTGGAATCCATTTCCTTCGGGTCAATCCTCAATTGGGGTCCAATAACTGTGCTCTAAGTGGAAAATGCCAACGGGCTTTCTTGTGGTGGAGATAGATAGAGAGCCCATTTTGGTCAATCTTGGCGCCTAGAGAAGCAGAAAATGGCTCGAATCATTCAAATCAAGCAAGCCCCACATTCGTTGAATCGCAACACGCTACAAGTTTCTGTCCAGTTACAGAGGTCTCCATCGATTGCGCGGCCCCGTCAAAATCCACTTTGAGTTTTACTCTCGCGAATGAACTCACTTGCCCAGCTTACCTCGTCAGCTACAGCACTGCACCAACGAGTCAATATACACAGCCTAATATCCATCCTTCATGCCCAATGCCACTGGCATATCTAATCCAATTCCTTTCGCTCCCTCTACCCCAACCGTATTCTACCCTCGCAGTTTCCTTCGCTTGTATTCTGAACCCTGGGATTTGACTTAACAGACACACAGTGGTCCGAAAATGACCTATGACACAGACACAGACACAATGAGAGATATAAGGCAAAGAGGCCAGATCCACCGTGAGTAATGAAAATGCAAGTAAATAATGATGAGGGATAAAAGGCAAAGAGGCCAGATCCAACGTGAGTAATGAAAATGCAAGTAAATAATGCACAAGAATTAGGAGACATGGTCTAATTTTTAACCGTGAAAAATTAACTGGAATTTCTAGTTTGAGAAAATAATGAAACTTGAAACACCAAAGACACGTTTGGAAGAGCATTGGAGGACACAATCCTCGTTAAAAATAGAAAATCAAGCTAGCTAGGGCAACCTCATCAAACATTGCATGACAAGTTAGCTTTCAAATTCTGTTCCATATTTTACAGCAACTAAATATGCATTTGGACACCCAAAACCCCAGGAGGTGAATGGGTTTATTTTATTAAATTTAAACACGTCCTTACAAACATGCCTCAAAGGTGTTGGTGCCATTCTCTTCATTGTCAAGCATTTGGACAACCTGGGCCACACTTTCTGCAATTTCCTTATGAATGACACCATCAGGCATATCAAATGTCCGTCGTCTCATGGAAAGTGATCTACCGGCGGGTTGGGGGTCGACCACATCCAGCATTGCCTCCAGCTCATCCACCATCGACCTCTTTGCAACTCGAACCATTAGCTCAGCTCCCTAAACAGTGCAATGCATCAGAGCCCATTCAAGAACCAATACAAGCTATGCATGTTAGACAGAAAGGCAGGTACTTAGCTGCCATGGCCGCTCCCTCCAAAACCAACATACTCTCACAATTGAAAGTAAACATCCTAGTACTCTACATCAACTAGCCTAACAATGAGATCTAAGATATCTAGCCACTGTACTTTTCCCCCTTTAAACATGGAGTTTTTTCAAAGTAGCGAAGTCCCAATTTTTTTTGGGGGAAACAGTAGAAATTTATTTGGAAAAATAACACTTTTATAAAAAAATTCGCAACAATGCCAACGCCACAACAATTAAATTTCAAAGGCTGAAATTTCAAAAACTTGAAAGGCTACAGTAATGTGAATGCGACAACCTTTAAAATTTAAAAGCAGTGCCATTTTCAAGCATACAAACCACAGATTTATTATCATATGCAACCTCCAATAAAGCTTTAAAATAAATTTATGTGGTTTGTATGCTTGAAAATAACATTGTCTTTAAATTTCAAAGGTCGTGGCAGTGTTAATGCCGCAACCTTTAAATTTCAAAAACAATAAAAATTTAAATGGGCATTTCCATTGCCACAACTAAAAAAATACAATGCTATTTTCCGAAATAAATTTCCTACTGTGCTATTTTCCCAAAAAAGTTTTGGAACCGTGATCTTTTTTTTAATGAAAAAAACCTCTTTAAACATGGTCACCAAGGAACTCTTCTTTTTTTTTCTTTTATTCATATGTCAATAGGAGTGCAACATGAGATGATTCATGTTAAGGTTATAAAAATATGTGGTGACAAAACTTGTGAAAACAGACCAGCTATATATAAGCAAAGTTCATCACCATTAGAGTGACACTTAAAATGTCTAACTCAATAACACATCTCAATGATTTGTGGATGAGACAACAAAACAACATGGTCACACCTCTCTTATGGTTCATCAAATGTAAAGCATTTCATTTATTTTTCTTAGACAAGTCTTCTACATGGAAACTGACCGAATTAGACAAGGAAATATTACTTCTTGTTAAAAGTGAGATGGTTAGCACCTTGAATGTATAGGAATATTTTTGTTAGATAAATGAAATGCAAGGGATTTTTATAACATAGAAGTTCAATTCTTAACATCAAGATTTAACACTTCATAACAATCATCATCATTTTTGTGAAGCGAAGAAATAAAAAAGGTATTGAATTGGTTAAGTTTATCAATCAACTAGACTCAGCCACTGTGCCTTAACTTGACCAATAAAAGTATGGCGTGAGTCTTAGCCTTTGTTTGATAGTATGGTGGGAGTAGCTACAGCCACAAACCCAATTATTTGGTACCATTACAAAAGCATCAAGATCATACTTTTGCAATTAGTACATTTAACTATTATAACAGAAGGAGCTAGTCCAACCACAGGACTGTATTCAAAACCCTAAAGCTGAAAAATAAAATTTGTGCAAAGTTAGATTGTAGATACAGAATCATACATGGTGCTCTTAGAGGATCCGTAGCAACTAGCAGACTTCATATATGGTTTAGCTAGGAAAATAAAAATAAGAAAATTGTTTAAAGAAGCATTTCTCATTAAATTATTATCATGTGAACTTGAGAAATAAAAATTGATTAATGATAAAAGATAGTAAAAAGTTGTATCATTTGTGTAATCCTTGTACAAAATAAATGTAGAAGGTTAAACAATGCACCGCATTATAACTATTTTCTAATAGCATTATATTACCATTCACACCCTCCAAATTCATTAATTTTTATTCCAAAATGAGCAACCAATTAACAAGCTGAATTTTAATTTGAGGACAGTGAACAATTCAAAAGCTATTAGGTGGACCAGGTCAAGCACCCGGTCATGGACTGAATGAGAGAAAAACATGTAAAATTAAATCACTGTTACAAACAACAAAAGTATGATTGTGCAAGGAACCTACAGTTGAGGAAACAAAGCTAACTAGCATGTTGGAGCCTCTTTCATTAATTTATAACTGCTTAAACAAAGCTATAAAACAAGTTCATTTGGTTGTTACAGAACATACAAGTACACTTGTCAAGTGAACAGCCAGTATTGAAATCATTGGTGGGTCTTGGTGAGTTTATACAATGATGGTTGGTGTTCAATCTTTGCACAACAGAACATTTGTACAGAGTTTAAGGAGCAGATCTCACATTTTCTGAAACAAGTCCTCTCCCACATTTTGATAGATTTTATCAACACAAATAAACACACTATAAAATTTTCATTTAACATACTCTTTTACTAGTATACTTAACGAGTCAAACATAGAAAGGTAGCAAAATCCAGTATAAGAACGGGTGCAATTGAAAACGATTGTTGTAATAACTGATGTGAAGGTATATGTTGATAAAATTCACTATGAAGTTTATCTCCCCTCATTCTGTAAAACACAATGAAGCATGGGATCTATGCACCTCGTAACTTAAGGAAAAATCTTCCATGGAACCCATTCAGGTATTTAATCAAGCAATCACTCATTATTACAAGCAACCATTACACTAAAAACCAGTTGAAAGTACAATAATCCAACACTAACATCAAGCAAATATTATATGCAATGTCTCAAGAGCCTAATATGCAACAATAAATAGCAGCTATCATCTTGTACTAGCATCTCAAGCAAAATCACAGAGCACACAATTTCAAACAAAAAAAACACGATTTACCTCAATGAAGCATGGGATCTATGCACCTCGTAACTAAAGGAAAAATCTTCCATGGAACCCATTCAGGTATTTAATCAAGCAATCACTCATTATTACAAGCAACCATTACACTAAAAACCAGTTGAAAGTACAATAATCCAACACTAACATCAAGCAAATATTATATGCAATGTCTCAAGAGCCTAATATGCAACAATAAATAGCAGCTATCATCTTGTACTAGCATCTCAAGCAAAATCACAGAGCACACAATTTCAAACAAAAAAAACACACGATTTACCTCAATGGCATCAACAGTGAGCAGCAGCACAATAATTTTCTCTGAAAACCTCTGCCTCTCCTCAGCATCACGAGCAAGATGACGCCTATACGAAAAGTTGTTAAACAAAGCTCTAAGCTCCTTCAACTTTGCTTTCGCAATCGCCAACTCTCTAAGTCCACGAAGCGCCTGCGATCTCCTGATCAAATAAGTCCTAAATGTCACCTGAATCAACAATGCTGCATCTTGCGGTGACAATTCCTTCTTCTTTCCCTTTCTCTTCTCCACCACTCCAGCCCTCTTCGCAAATGCCTAAGAGAAAAAAAATGCCAGTAAGAAAACTTAATGTACTCTCCATTGAGCACTTTTAAATAATTTAAATCCCGCAATCCGTCCCGGATTACCTTTCGTAAAACAACAGCTCCATGATCAGGGTAATCTTCTATTTCAACAAGTCGCGTGGCGCACGCTCCTTTCTTCTCTTTCTTACCCTCTTTCTTCTTCTCGTTCCCCTTCTTCTCTTCTTTGCTACCCTCACCTGCAAATCCACTTGATGTTTCAAAAGTATACTTCCGTGACATCGGAATCTCTTCCCCTCCCTTTCCTTTAATCTCAGCCGTCCATTTATAATTCTTAACCTGCTCTTCTTTCTTCTTCTTCACCTCCTCCTCCTCTCCTCCTTTGATCTCCGCCGTCCATTTATACTTCCTCTCCGTCACCGGTCCTTTAATCTCCGCAGTCCACGTGTATTTCCTCTCAGCACCACTTCCGCCGTTGATCTTCGCGTTGACAAGGCGGTCAAACTGTGACTCGAGCTCACTGACGCGGTCAGAAAGAGTCTGCAAGCGCAGGTCAGTCTCAAATCGGTCAAGAACACTCTTGGAAGGGCAAAACAACGGCGTCTTAACCAGATCCGTCGCCGTATAAAAACACTCGAGAGAGCTAGGTTTTAAGTGCAAGAGATCGAGAGCAGCAAGAGATAGTTCCTCAGGTTCTTCAAAGGAGGGGAAAGCGAGTGTTTTCGAAGTGAACACGGAGGCTTCTCTGAGGAACACAGGAGCATAGTGAGGCTCATAGATTTCGATTCTTCTAAATCGGCTCATGACTCCAGCGAGTTTTGAAAGCTGGCTCGGAGAGTTGGGTGGGGATTATCGGGCGAGTTGAGATGATTTTGATGATATGATAGATGGTGATGGTGAGATATCAAGGGATATATGTGCGAGTTTGTTAAGAGGACAGGGACCCGAGGAGAGTCAAATGTGGATATCAGGGTAAAATGGGAATTTTGTTTGCTGATAGCGATGTTTGTCTGGATTTGATAGCGAGGATAAGTGTGAAGTTTCATAAGCGGTGTCAATTACATGTTCAACAGTGTTTATGAGAACAGCGTATTTTTTTTATATATATATATTTTAAGAATTGTTTTTAATATAATATATCAAAAAAATTTAAAAATAAAAATATAATTTTCAATTTAAAAAAATATAATTTCAAATGTATTTTCAAACATCCTTTTAATAATTTTTTAAAATAATAAATGAGATAGTATGTATCTATATATATAATGGATAATTTTAGTTTAATACTTAAATTTTATAATTTATTAGTTTATAATTTGTTTTATATTGAATTTTTTTATTGATTTGAATATAAACTCATTCAAATTCAATTAATTTAGTAAAATCTAAATAAAATATAATCAAGTTAATTATATTTTTTAAAATCTTATTTAAAATGATAAATTCATCTAAAACATAAAAATAAAATTATTTTAGGTTTAACTTGATGATCTAATAACTAGCTCCTTAACCGATTCAGATCCTGAATCATATCTAATATCTATGCTTATATATAATATTTAGAATTAATTTTGATATATAAATTAATTAAAAAAATAATTCAATTATTATATTTATTAAAAAGTGATCATAATGTCTCATGACACCTCACACTATCTGGTATTCTAATAATAGGAATTATTTTTTTCCCTTAATTATTTTTTATTAATTAAAAACATGTCAACTTTTTTTTTTTTTTTTAAATTTATGCCCATAGATAAAAAATAAAGATAAACAACCATCTTCTGTCACAAAAATGGAGCCAGTGGCTGGTAGAATTGGAACCAGCCAACTGGCTAACGTTCGAAACAAGGGTCGCCGCATAATTAAGGAATAGGAAAGTACAGAAATGTCCATGACTTTATAAAACATTACGGGGACATGAGAATCTGATAGTGCGATGACAGCATGTGGGGTCTGAAATCCGTGTCAGGTGGTAGCACGTGATTTAAGGGATTGATCTGGGCTTCCTTTATTAAGGGCCGAGACCAGATTCTGCTCTAGATGGGTTGGGTCCAAACTGCATTTTGGATGGGCTAATTAATAAGATAAAATGCTTACGATTTTTATAGGTCTCCAAGAAAATTCCAAATTAATTTCAATTTTTTTATAATTTTTATAGATATTCAATGCTTAAGAAAAATTCTTAACCTCAAATTTTTTTGAAAATATATTTGAAAATAGAATGAATTTTATTATGATATATGAAAAAGTTCAGCTCAAAATGTAAAAAATTAAATTGTCTTTTATAAGAGTTTTTGATAAATAATAACAATTAAATCAAATAAAGAGACAATGTTCGTCTAAAATATGATAATTTAAAAATAAAATTAAGAGCACAAACCTCAATTAAACTCGCATACCTCCATCACAAATTCACACAAGTACCATGTTAATAAAACATTCTTTTCAAGAATTAATTAAGTTGAGATATTAAAATTTAATTAAATATTATGTATTCATAATAAAATTTGTTTTCATTCTAATATATTTGTTTTTTCCTGGTAAGTAAATTATATATTTTTATTTTTATATTATATAAAATAAATCATATAACTACGTATTAACGCAACACAATGTTTTTATAAATAACTAAAACACCATTTATTTTTTGCATATGAATTTGTTTTAAAAGTAGTTCAGCTTGAAAAAATTATCAAATTAATATTTCTCAATAATTTTAACATTCTATGTTAAATATAAAAAAAATCTTAAAAAAATATATTAATGTATTTTTAAATTTATTGTCAGGAAATTATTTTTTAAAGAGAAATAAATAATAGTTCACCATTAAAAAATAACAGTTGGATAACCAAACATATTGATCAATATAAAAAGAAATCCACACTCTTCTTTTTTTGGATAAATAACAAATCCATACAACTTTAGCAGCAAATTAAAAGAAGATATATTGCATTGCTTTGCAATTCCAGGATGTATATTTTTTTAAATAAGAAGAAAACATAAGTACCATTCAATCAATTTGACTTTTTAAAAAATTTATTAAACTAGGTGACTTTCTCTTTCTATTTTTTTCCTTCAAAACCATGTGATTCTAATTTTTTTAATTAAAATTAAGTTATTTTATTTTCATCTAGATTAACCCACAATCCATGTCTTAAACCGGTTTAATAATTCCAAATGATCAGAGGTTAAATTCTCTAAAACACAGGTCCCATTCCATCAATCAATTTTCATTTCGGAAAATCTCAAGATACGTGAAATAAACAAATTGAATCAAGAATTACATACAAATAGTCACAAAATTAAATCACATGGCAAAACACAAATTTATAGTAGTAATTAGGTTGGAGGAAGAACCACACTATGTTTCAGATGAGGGAAGATTCCACTTGAACTTTCTGTCATAAATCCCATTAAAGCCATGCCAATCACCACCCCACTAGCCATGCCCCAAAAGACCCTCCCCGATCTCTTCTTTGCAAGAACCTTAACCTTCTCTGTCTTCATCGATGGTGTCTTCTCTTCGATCAAACTCTGAAAAGCATTCTCTGCCTCCTCAAATTCAAACGAACCCGTTTCCTCAGAGGTCTGATCTCCATCTTCTTCAAGACAAGACTCGGTGGATGGAACATTATCTAACTGGTCTTGGGTTGTCACTGCCATTGGTGTCGCCTCTTTCATCAAACTCTGAAAAGCATTCCCCGACTCCTCATATTCACACAAGCCGGTTTCGTTAAAGGTCAGATCACCATCATCATCAAGACAAGACGCGGAGCATGAAACATTCTCTAACTGAACTTGTATTGTCGCTGTTTTATTATTGTTGTTCCTGTCATAGAATGCAGTTTCAAGGTCTGATAACCTCTTGCCTATTTGTTGCAAGCGGTACTGCGGCCTTTTAGAGCTTGATGTTGTTTCTGCCGACAAGAGATTTTTCAGAAAGAAGAATCTTTGCTCGACGTCTTGAATGTATAGTTCAGACAATTGAGTCTCGGCAGGAAGAGAGAATACTTTGTTGATGAGTTCATGTTCAAGTTCTTGCAGTTTTTTCTGCAACATTGAGGATTGTTTTGCCATGGTTTTGGGGGGCTCTTCCTCTCCTTGTTTATGGCTTGTTTTTGGTGATGAGGATGCAGCAAATTGGTGGGGATTTCAGTTATTTTGGAAGGTTTCTTTATGGTGGCTAGTGGCACGGGACACGTTAAGGGAACGGTTATTGTTTATGCCATGCGACGGTTGAGACCTGAGACTAGCTTTTAAGGCTTTCATCTATCATGGAACTTAAAAAATAACGTGGAAGAATGTTCTAATAGTTATTTTTTAAAATATTTTTTTTATTTAAAAATATATATAAATAATATTTTTTATTTTTTTTAAATTATTTTTAAGACTATTATATTACAACAATAGAAAAATTTTAAAAATTCAAACAAAAAAAATAAATTTTGATAAAAAAACTGTTTGGAACTGCGTTCTTGAGGGCACCTTGGGTGCTATTAATCCATTTAATTAAGTGCTTTAAAAAAAAAAACTTCGGGAATTGATCAAAGAAGATTTCATCAATTTTTTCTTTCCTCTGTTTTATCAATTTACCTAAACAAATTTGCAATACGACCAATGAGAGACAACGAGAAGAAACATACCATGTGGCTAAAACACACAATCAACCAACCAAATTGATATATCTCCTCTACCCGAAGACAGAAACTTGATCTGTTCTTGGAACTCGGATTATTGGAATTTGAATCCTTTCCCAGACTTGAAATTGAAACTTGAAACAAGGAATTAGTAATCATCCTGAGCATAGTTAAGAGAGGCTTGTTCAGTTATGATGCTGTAATTCTTGGCTAGAGAAAGCGCCCTACTGTCAGGATTTTCTTGGAAAAGAAGCATGCTATTTCTTCCAAGCTCACCCATGCCTCAGCTTCCATCACCTTTTATGTTCAGTGTCTACAAGAAAAGCCATCTCAACACCAGGGACATACATTCCACTAACCCATCAGATCACAGAGAACTCCATTGGACTTCTTATCAGAAGATTTAATTTTCCATCAGATCACAAATGAAGAGTAGTTTCTACTTCCTATAATTGAAATGATTCTTTTTTAAGAAAATTCAAAACATCAGTAATGCCTCAGCCTAATTTAGGAGTCTGTTCTGCTAGACTTACATTGCTTATTTTTACTACCATATCGTGGTTTGGAAATCCAGCAGTCACTCAACTCCACTAAATACACTGGTGCTTTTTGTACTGTGCAACCCAGAAGACACAAACGGATGATGTTCTAAAAAACAAGAAAGGATAAAAATCAACGGTTCATACTTCCTTGGGGTATTTCTCATGACACTCGTTATCTCATGAAAATCACAGCTTCCAAGGAAAGGATGCTTGGGGTAAATTGCAAGATTTTGAAAAAAAATAAAAAAATAAGACCATGTTGATTGACAAGAATATTTTATAATAACGTGATTTCCAAAAAAAAAAGGTTGGAAATTTGATTTTGCAATAGATTTGCGGGGGATGCAAATTCGAGCCTTCAAATTTTGCATTTGCAACCGCATTTGGGGTTGCAAATTAATCAAGCAACTTGTAACAATTTTGCAATCAAATTTCGGTTGCAAATTATATTTTAAAATTAAAAAAATATTTAATTCCAAATAAAATCAACAAAATCAAAATTAATATAAATTATATATTCAATTGTTTAAAATAACAACACAAGAAATTAATTATACCCACAAATATATGAGCATGTATAAACTCAATCTTCGAAATAATAAACTTAACTATATTATTATTACTATTCTTTGCTAAGGCTTTGTTTAGGATGATGATGATGTTATTCTTGGCCCGTGAATGCCTTAATGTCAGGATTTTCTTGGAAAAGCAGCATATCATCTTCTTCCAAGCTCACCCATGCCTCAATTCCATCACCATCTTTAGTGTCCATGAAATGAAACATATTATGACCGGGGACAACCACTGCACTAAACCAACCAGGATTTCCCCAACCAAAATCTACTTCATACACCGGCATCCGACACCAGCTATTAAACATGTAGAAATCTGCATCGCTTCTGTGAAATGCGTCGATCATCTCAGTCTTGGTGTTGACCACCGAAGAAAACAAGTCATCATCACTTGAAATCTTTGCAGAATCTGTTACCCTCTTCCTTATTCCATCGTGAACTCGACCTACAAAGTGATGAAGTTCCACTTTGTTCTCATCGTCATCTACTGTGAAACGTGCAAGTGCCGGGTTCGTAAAGTTCCCACAGGAATTATCTGGTACAGGCATTGCAGTCTTCCCTCGCAAGTTGAATGAATGTACCAAGAGGGAAGGCCTTAACCGACCATGTTTCGTTCGAGCCACCATTGTAAGAGCCTTCCACATAAGTGCTGTCACGACCTCCACTCGTGTCGGCTGGCGCGATCCATTAATATTGGCACTTGCAACAGCCTTCAGTTTCGATATGGCTGCACTGTTAAACACAAACCTCTTCTGAATCTCAACCTTTTTCTCTCCAAAGTTTGGGGTAAAAGTAGGTATATGTCTTGGTGGGAAGAAGGAAGCTAACTGGAAACTTGGGGTACGTACTTTATCAACCCCTAATCTAGCTGCAGTAGCCCAAGCATTAATGAATGCAAATACTGAAGTGGCATCGGCCGCCCTATGTTTGATGCATACACCAATGGCCACCGCACCACATTCAAACATGTTGAACTGAACTAATACTATAGGGCCGTCTGCAGGTTGATGTGGAATTGGAGCCAAACGATTCCGAAGCTCGGTCTCAAGCTCTCCTCCTTCAAGAAATTGTGAGAGGAAGCCACCCACTTGGGTTTCCACATATTCAGCTCCCTCGTCATTACAATTAATTATGAGACTGTTATCAATGTATCTTCCAGCAAAGGGGTAAAAGATTGTCAAGGCCTCCGATAATGATTTTTGCAATTGCTTGCTTCTTTCAATGTTGTCTCCTGCAGTACTGGATGGGTAGTAGAAAATGTTAGGTAAATATAGAAGAGGTGACTGAAACATACTTAGCCATGATACTTTGTAGTTTCGAAGGTGGGAAGGAGTTGGAGATGATGGAATTATCAACTTTTTAGATAGGATTTGAACGTTCATATTGGAATTCTTTTCAAGGTCTGTATCAAAACATGCAAGAAATGATCAGAAAAGAAAAGAAAGGTTAAAAAATATTGGCAGCTTAATTTATCTGGCGGAAGTAGAGGGATCGTGTATCTATATATATATATATATATGAGAAATCCTTTCACCCCAAATACACAATTTACTGTAACATCTCAATATTAAATATCAATTAATGTTCAATAATGTAAATTAATTTGTCTTGGTTTTTTTATTTAATTTTCAGTTGAGATTATTAAATTATTACATACGTCAGGTTATTTATAGAAGGCAAGAAACTGAATAACCGAATCCATGCAATGCCGCTAGAGAATTTCCTTTATTAGTTGTTTACGCGTAACTGCCTCTATAAAAAGACCGATGACCAGGACGGAAAGATAGTGGACTGTCTCGATAAGGAACGTCAGTGATGCAGTCGCCATTAAAGCAAGAGATTCCAGGAGCTTTGGCCCGACCTCATAAACAATTCAGTTTTTTGGATTATCAAATTAATTCAAAAATCTAATTAAGTTAATTTTTTAAAGAATATTATTTTATTTTTTAAAATTAATTTTATCTCGGGTGGGTTTAAATCGATTTTGACTAGGTCACTAATCAATTTCAGAAAAGAGAAGAAAAGAAAATTAAACTTGTGATAGAAGTTGAGAAGTGCATGACAGAATTTGACGCTAACCCGATTCATCATTATTATGATTAGTGATCTAGTTACATGATAACTAGGAGCGCACTCTGGCTTTTTGTCTCTTTCTTCGAAAATAATGACAATAGGGTTTGGTAAGACTTTAAAAGTTATTTTGAAAATCAACAGTAGAAAAATACAGAAAGAAGCTCCATAATGAATTCCTTTCAATCTAAAAACGCTAGTAAGGTTCATGTAAAAGATTTTTTTAGAAAAATAAATATATTTTTCTATTATTTATTATGATATTTTTCTAGTTTCTTTTTTATTAGAAAATACTTTTCTTAATTTATTTTTTTCTATTCAATGTTATTAGAGATTTATAGTCTTTCCTATATTAAGAATTATAATAATTACGAAGACATGAACAAATAAAATCGAATATTTTGAGTCTGGTGTTTTTAATCTTTAAGAATTCTAACATGTAACAAATCTATATAGATACATGAATAAATAAAATCAAATATTTTAAACCTGTTTTTTAAGAGTTTTAACATGTAACAGATCTCTTCATCATTTGTTTTCTTCAGCATAAAAATACACCATGTTCTAATATTTTTACACTTCACTATCAAATTGTAAATCAAACAAAATCAGACTTACATTTTTTCTTGAAAGATTTACTTGAGAGAGTCAAGGCCACGCTTCAAAGAAGGTTACTCTGCAGAATGCATACTAATGCAGGAGATAGACATGACAACCATAGCCATATGTTCAGCAAAAGAAAAATTAAAAAACAACACGGGCAATATGCACAACTGAGCTGCTCATGCTGGGCAGCAGAAACGAAGCTCAAGCTGGCAAGGTAGCCAAGACATTGAAACGCTTTCTGGACACTGAAATGCTGTATTGGCCTTCATTCGTTCCATTATTTTGCGGAGATATTGTTACGGTATCACCTTCCTTGTTGACACCTTTATCCTTCACAAAACTCGAGTTTAATACTGGACATGCGTTACTTGAGAGAGTCAAGGCGGCGCTTCAAAGAAGATCACTCTGCAGAGAGCACACTTATGCAGGAGATAGACATGACAACCATAGCACTATGTTTAGCGAAAGAAAAATAAAAAACAACACGGGCAATATGCACAACTGAGCTGCTCATGCTAGGCAGCAGAAAAGAAGCTCAAGCCGGCAAGGTAGCCAAAACATTGAAAAGCTTTCTGGACACTGAAATGCTGTATTGGACTTCATTCGTTCCATTATTTTGTTGAGATATTGTTACGGTATCACCTACCTTGACACCTTTATCCTTCACAAAACTAAGCCACTGCCCAGTGATAACAGGTTTAGGATGTCCTTCAGAGCGACAGGATAGCTTAAAGTTCCACTGCTTCCCAAGAGTGTCGATTGCTTGGAACTCAATTTCTCTTACACCTTCAGGCATTGGGAAAAGGTGTAGACAACTTGCAGGAACGCTCAGTCTTTCTTCTATGTCTGTCCGAGACAAACTTTTTGAGATGGCCTTAGTTGATGGTTCCTTAATTGATGGTTCCGCCGTCGTGTCTGAAAGAGAATAATCCGGTAATAAGTAGACAAGTTATGCCAAATTTCGGGAAGTTAAACTAGAATTGGAAGTTGAAAAATGCAAGATGAAACATTGTTTTTTTTTAAAAAAAAAAAAAATTAAGATATTCCTGAGCATTACATTACCTGAAAAATGCCTATTTTTAATAATAAAAAAAAAAACATTTTTAACCATTCATTTTCCACCAGTGAAAAAGAAAAGAAAGAAAGAAAGAGAAGCCAATAGACTTTAACATCACATTGATATTAAGACTTCCATTTCGTTGTTATAAGAACAGAAGTTCTGCACGAACAAGATTTTAATTCAGTATTGAGTAGTTTGTCACTTTAGCTCAAAATGACATGTAGTTTAGCGGGTTAATAAGATTGAAAGCCCACCATGCGGCTCCACCGCTTCCCTTTTCCCACATGACAGATGACAACAAGAGGTGTCTGTAAGGATAATAACCAAATCTCATGCAAGTCTGCCTTCAATTATTCAAATAAAAATGAGCATGGAGCCATTTTTTTATTCATGGAGATGGAGGTAAGTATAGGTGGATTAAATTGTTTTACTTTTAGGGTATAATAATGAATATGGTATCATTTGAATTATATATATATATATTGAAAAAAAATGAATCAATTCACTTTTAAGAGATAAATGACTTACTAGCTAGATATAACGTTGTGATCAATTCACGTACAGTAGGAAGATGGAAACAGCGCAAACAAGAATTATAGGAGAATGGCCAAAACTTGCATAGAGTGAAAGCTGAAACAATAAACTCAGAATGCCGACGGGAACCCATGGATTAGGTTTCATTTGCTTAACATAAAATATGTGTGTGTACTATGTCAATATTAAAATATCTAAATATTATATTAAGAAAATATAAATGTTCTACGTGTATATCTATATGCTAAAAATACATGTATATATCTCAGGTTAGGTTTGGATCAGTTTTAATAATATCAATTACTAATCGGATAGGATAACTATCCACAAAAAACTCAAACAGTTTAAAAAGACACTCCCTCTTTTGTAACCTTGGGATAAATTAAAAATAATAATATAATAGAAATTATGGTGTAATGAAATGATATAAATAAATGAAAAGAATAAATTGGAGAAAAGTGGGTTCAAAAAATAGAAGAAAAGGAGTTCATAGCTGAAAATGTGTAATTTTCCAAACCAGAAACGGTCTAGATAGCTATTTTAATAAAAGACTAAACTAATTTAATAAATTGGTCAAATCATTTCTTGATTACTATTTTGGCTATTGTCCCTGTTATAACCCAACGGTGTGCATGAAGAGAGAAAATATCATTTTTATTTCTTCTTTCTTTCTTTCACCTTAAAAGGCTAGAAAGTAAGCTTTAAAAGTGAAACAAGAGGGTCTTGAAAGGAAAAAAAAAAAAAAACACATCCTTACTAGAAATTAAAAAAAATAAAAGAAATAAAAAATGAAGATAAATAAATAGAAAGAGAGAGTGTGAAGAAAGAAGAAGAAAAAAAGAGAAGCCTTGGAAAATTTCAACTAGTTGATTTTCGAAATATATCTTGTAACCAAATAAAATGTTTGGAACCCCTCTATATCAATTTGAACAAGAGTTAAATTGATTTTGAGTAAAACCTAGCAAAAAATTGAATTGGGGTTCTTGAGATGAAATTAGAGGGGAAAATGGATTTCTTAGAAATTGAGTTTCTAGGATTCTTGTAGGATATAGTAAGAGTGAAAACATGTTAGAATAACAAATAAATTTTAATAGGTAAGGAAGCCACAGAAATTTTGATAGGTAAGGAAGCCACAGGGGTCATCCATAAAAAGAATAAAAAGGGAAAGTTTCACATTTATGATATTGATCACGTGAATAATGATTTTGATTGAGTTGAATTAATGAAATGCTGAAATATTGAATAATTGAATGGTTGGGTCTAAAAGGATGAAATTAAAAATTGTTAGAGAAAATTGTAAATTTTATGGAATTGTGTAAAATTAATCAAAGTTGAAGGAATCCTAAATTTGTTTGTAATTAATGATTAGAATGTATTTATGAAAAACCTGAATATAATAGAATTATAATGAATAGTTTGATAAATAAGGAGTATGTTGTTATATGATAATGATACTTAATTGAAAAACATGTCGATGTAGAGGAGACCGTTGAGGTGATTCAAAGAGCTGGTGGAGCCGCTTATAGTCAAACTGCAGGTAAGTACTTCGTACCTTATGGTACTTTTCCTTATAATTTTTCAAAAATTTTACTTATGAATTAATTATCTATGAAACTGTGAATAGCGATATTGATAGTGTATTTAAAAAAGATATTTAAGTTGAGAGAATTATTTGGTATTCATTAAGGAATATTGGATTATTAGCTTCTGAATAAGAATGCTAGAATGATTGGCAATCAAGGTGGATTTGCTGGAGAAATTGGTATTCATGAGGAATATCAAATTATTGTTTTTCGAATGTGAATGCCGGATCGATTGACAATTAAAATGTATATGTTGAAATAATGAGTTTTCAATAGAGTATTGAATTGTTGGTTTCAATAAGAAAATGTTGGAATAATTATTTGAGTTATATATTACAAGATTTGTTTAGGGTTGATTAAATTTATGTAAAGAAAAAATTAGATGATAATAACAAATGAATTAAAATATTGTCTAGATAGTTGATTATTTCATTTTTAAGTGTTGGATGGCATATTAACTTTTGACTTAGTAAAACTTATTGACTTTGTTATAGGTAACTTAGAAGTTTGCCAGAGTAATGATTAGTTATTGCTTTTGTGTAGATTTAGGAAATTGTGGATTATTAGTTGTAATGATTAGTTATTGCTTTTGTGTAGGTTTAGGAAATTATTGCTTTTGTGTAGATTTAGAAAATTGTGGATTATTAGTTGTAATGATTAATTATTGCTTTTGTGTAGATTTAGGAAATTGTGGATTATTAGTTGTAATGTGGATTGTAGTTTTGGATCCTCTATTTGAAATGTAATTTACATATCCTCAAATTAAACTATCAATTATCATTGACTAATTAGGTGATATAATGTTTTTGTTATTTAAAACCTATAAATGCTAAGGTCTTGCATGATTATTATATTTGTCAATTTAATTTGAGTAGTAACTATATATATATATGTACTTAATCAAGTGTTTGTTGATGCACAGTTTATTGTAAATGTTTTGATGTTTTTGTTATTATGATGGATGTGAAATTAATAAATGTTTTAGTGACATGAATTGAAGAGAACAAATTATAAAATGATGGATACAAAGAGATGAGATCCAGGGTAAATGAATCAAAAATGGAGTGATGAGTTTGTGGTGTTTGTGATTATAAAGAGTTATTACATGTGATATAATTTTGATATCAATACTTAGGATGACTTAAATAAAAGAAAGATTCTGTTAAAATTTTAGTAGAATATTAATAAGTTAGAAATATAGATAATTTTAGATTGATCTGGTCGACTGATTGAAGTATCAAATAAACCTATCGACCATTTCATCAACCAGTAAAAAAATATTACATTGTTTTTAGACTTAATATAAAGGAATTTGTACCCAAATATTGGGATGTTACATCTTTAATCAAGAAATCAGTAATGGACAGCAAAGTACCTTTTCAAACTGCAAAATTCGCACTGTTTCTAGAAAAAGAGGTCGCACAAATATATAAAGAATTTATTATCAACAATAAAAGAAAAAAAAAAAGTGGAATATTTGTGTGAAAGTTGAATAGGAATCTCTTTGGTTAATCAACCTAATGACATACCGGATTAATCAAATAAACAAATGACTTTTATTCGGACAAATCACCAACTAACAAGAAACCGGGCCAGGAAGTGGTTGCATTCAAATATGAAAATTCTGGAGTAACCCAAATAAGCTGCAAACAACTGACCGCTTGATAGCTTCTACAACATTTTTAGTACTGCAAGAAATCAACAAGGGGTTCAATTTGAGAATCTAAGTCAGCATCCAAAATTACTTGATTTGATGTGAAAAGCTTCCACGGATGTTGACCCATTATGCTGTTTTTGACAAGGAGTTGGAGTTTAGGGTCGAGGTTGTCTTCTACAATGCAATGGAGGATTTGAGGACACTTTCCAATTAATTGTACTATGCGGGATGCGGCTGCCCCAGTGTTGTAAGATTTATTAAAGCTGTGTTTGTTTCTCAGATATTTTCAGAAAACCACTTTCCAAACTTTCATGTGTTTGTTTGCCATTAAAAAAATTAATCAACAAAAAACACTTTTCAGTCAAATAAAAATTTGACTTGGTTTCCAGGAAAGTGTTTTACTTGAAAATTTAGGTGGAAAACACTTTTTAAAAATTATAAAAAATTTAAAAATATCATATTATTTGCTGATTATATCAAATTTGATCCTCAAACTTTTGATTGCTATATATATTTTATTTTAAATATTTATTGTTTAATTTCAACTCTTAAAATTTAATTTTTATATTAACTTTGGTCCTTATTTTTATAATTATTATTTGTTTTTTCCTTATCATTTTTTTATTGAAATTTTTTATCTATCAAACTTAGTTCTCATTCTTTTAATTGTTACTTGTTTTATTTAAAATAATTTATGAAATGTTAATTATTATTATTTTAATTTCTTATCTTTTACTTTTTTATTTTTTAAATTTAATCTCTATTATTTTGATTATTATTTATTTTATTTGAGATAATTTATAAAATTATATTTTTTTTTTCAATTTCATTCTCATTTAACTTTTTAAATTGTAAGACTTATTTCTCATTATTTTAATAAAGTTAAGAAAAATAAAACATTAATAAGTTATTTCCCAACTCATTTTCCATAACATAATTAAACACTGAAAAATATTTTCCAACTTATTTTTCAATACAATACTAAACATTAGAATATAATTCACTTTCCCGAAATTTACTTTTCAAAAGAAAACTACTTTTCAGCAAACAAACAGGGCCTAAAATACTAGATTTGGTTTGAAATGCAAATAGTCTTGCCACCGATAGGAATAGCATTTGTTCTGCAAAACCCAAGCAAACCAAATAGTAACACAAATAAAAGGGGCACGAAATATAACATTGTTTGGCAAAGCCTATTCCACAAAACTTCATTATCAAAATAGAGATTACACTCACATACTTTACTACTTAAAACCTGGTTAGATCTAGGCAATCTCCACTACATGATTGCTAGGCCTTGTAAACTACTATTGTGTAAAACTAGAGAAGAGGGCAACCCTTTCACAAAACTCCCCATTGGACGCGCCAAAGAATTCCACTATCAAGATTTGTGGTTGCCACTACACACCATAAATATTGGAGGCACACATAAACTACCCACAAAACATTCTATTTATACTAGCAATAAGGCCCTTGTTTCATTAGAAAACATACTTCAAGTCCAACTTTAACAAGAAAATTCCTTATCCTAAACAAAATATATCAACACATTACATTCTTGTTTAGGAGACCACACCATGCAATTACCAATCTATCCTAAACCAACTCACCAATTTAAGCCACAACTCAAGAATAAGATATGAGTTTAGCATAAAATTTATGACATTACTGATAACAAGGTACATAATTAAAACCCATCGGATGAAGTGTTTCAATGCAATTAAACAAATTACATGTTATACTTGCATAATGTTTGGCTGAAAAACAATATCATAGCTTGATCAACATGTCTGGTGGGAATTTTGGTAGACCATCCAGGTCTTAGAAGGTATTAAGAGTCATTGATGCGTACTTAAAAAGATGTTGTCATAGTTCTTGCAATATATACTTATTACTTATACTTTATACCTCTATAACATAAGTAGATTGGTTGATAAAACCAGAACGTGAAGAACTCAGCTATGATTATCATCCCTTCTAAAATTGGGTACATAGGTTCTCTATTGTTTTCTGGCTTTCAGTCTAACAATGACTTCTAGCAGGCAAGGGGTACTAGTTTTTATTTTGTCCATTGGGCTGAGTTTGAGAATTTTGACTTGGGAGATTTACGCTTCTAATGGCTGGTATTTGTGGCTAAACTTTCTGGGCAGATGGTGCAATTCGGGATTCAATAGCATGTTGCCTCTAGTATGAATGCAAAACGATTTGGTTTAGTATAGCATTCAGTAAAATACTCTACAGCCAATTCATTTCAACACGTGCACAGTTGAAAACATTACATATCTTAGGACGTTGCTCACAGTTGAAAACATTACCCATGTTAGGACGTGGCTCACGAACATGATTTACAGGATCGAGACTATTCAAAGAGTGCTCCTTATTCCCGGTATGCATTTGTTCTTCCTGGATTCTATCATCAAAACCCACACCTTCACCAATCAATCCCATAGATCCAGAGTCCTCTTCCATCTTGTCATCACCATGAAACGTTGCTGTCCATAAGGGCAACCAGAATAAGGTAAATAAAACAGCTCTTAACTTTTAAGATAGGATATCGACATGCATCTAAAAGAACATCAAGTTGTGCACCATTTCATGGAATTAGAATCAAATTCAACAGGAAAATGATGACATAGAACCTCCTGAACCAAGATTAAACACACATCTTCCTTAAGTTCACTAGAAGGAGCAATTACTGCAAGTCAAGATCTGCTATAAACTTATCAAAATCTCTCATCTAACGGCCTAACCCAGAACTCCCAACTTGGCATCTAAGACTACAAAACTCATGCAACCCCCAGGACAGACAAAAAACCTCTTATGACTTAGTTCATAAACATCGCTGGTATAACGAAAAGCTTACGATTAAGACCATAGTTTTTTCGATTTATACCAGGGAAGTATTTTTGTAAGTCTCTAATAGATAGGACCCTAAAACAGCTTATAGAATTAACATAGTCTGAATTTTTGAAACGGAAAGAGAAATTACCTAGTGTGCTGTTCTGAGAATCCGACATGTCGGCAGTCTCCGTTTCTTATCAGAGGGTTCTCCAGTTCTGAGGTTTTTGATGTAATGATTTTGCCATTCATCTTTCCCAGTCTTAAAAATTATTTAACTTTTTTCCAAAGTGATTCCATTGTCTTTTTTATGACGTCATTAAAAATTGTTTCATCCAACGTGGACCTATGAATAGCTGGGAGAGAAAAAAACTGAAAAATAATAGAACTGAAAAAATAAAATAAAAAATTAAATGCAAATTTAAACTAAAAAACTGAATTAACCTAGAAGAAAAAAGATCTAATTTCTTTTTATTTTAAAATTTTAAAATTAATTCAATTAAGTTAAACAATTCAAATAAATTTAAATCAAGTTAAAAACTATGAATATAAATATTAAATTTTTTTTCTACCATCATAGTTGAATCAAACCCACCTAGCTTTTTAATAAATATTTAATATTATAATAATAATTATTTTTTAAAATATTTTTTATCTAAAAATTTATAAAAATAATATTTTTTATTACATAAAGGTATCTCAATTTCCCTGTCTCTCGTCTCTTCATATATGAAATCGCAAGTTCTAATCTTAAGTCTATATTTATCATTACAGTCCAACCATACTTAAAAAAATAGTTTCAAATAAATTTTTTATATTTTTATATTATTTTAATATATTAATATTAAAAATATATTTTACAAAATAAAAAAATATATTATTTTAATATTTTTAATTAAAAATCATTTAAAAAAATACCCTAAAACTAAGACACTTCTCTCATATTTGATATTATAATAATAGTTATTTTTAAAAATATATTAAAATAATATATTATTTAAAAATTTTATTATTAAAAAATATTTTTATATATTTTTATATTATTTTAATGTATTAATATTAAAAATATATTTTACAAAATAAAAAAATATTATTTTAATATTTATAATTAAAAATCATTTAAAAAAATACCCTAAAACTAAGACACTTCTCTCAATGTAGTGTTTGATATTATAATAATAGTTATTTTTAAAAATATATTAAAATAATATATTATTTAAAAATTTTATTATTAAAAAATATTTTTATATATTTTTATATTATTTTAATGTATTAATATTAAAAATATATTTTAACAAATAACTATTATTATAATATCAAACACTACATTGAGAGAAGTGTCTTAGTTTTAGGGTATTTTTTTAAACGATTTTTAATTATAAATATTAAAATAATATATTTTTTAAAAGTTTTTGTTATTAAAAAATATTTTTTTTGCTAATTTGTATAAATTACAATAAATAAAAGAAAATGATAAATTGCAAAAAAAACTTGTAAAGAAATTGTATGTACATGAATTAAACACATAACAAACAACTATTATTCTGAATTAAACTATACATGACTGTTTATTTGTAGTATAAACACCTTCATATCAATCTTTCTCGGAGCTTACGGTTTTACATGCACTGCAAGTAATAAGTCGGAGCTGGAAAAGCGTGGTATCTTTCCATTAGAATTTTTCTCGTGTCTAACATATTTTAGTTTCTTCTCAAAGTTGATTTTTACTAAAAAAATATATATATCTTAAAAAAATATTTTTTTATTTTTTAAAAATATTTTTGATATTAATACATTGAAATAATATAGAAATATAAAAAATATATTAATTTAAAAAAATTAATTTTTAAAAAATATAAAAAAAACAGGTTTGAAAATTTTGTTGCGGTTGAAATTGCATCCTTGCATGTCCTCACAACTTTGGAATAAGATGGGAATTAAAAAGAATATCAGCTTCCTTTGGGTTTGTGGTAAACTGAGGAGCACCGCGGAAGAGTAAAGGTACTACCTAGTTGGGGTCGATGTAATTTTATGCTTTATGTCCTGTCATTCGTGAAGGTATTATATTATATGTAAAAGGAATCATTTTACAGGTGTCACAGCTAACGTGGTTCAATACTTTGGCTTTTCTATTTGGAGAGGAAAGCATGCGGGAAAGAAAATCATGGATGCACAATGGTGATCTTTTTGATCCGGGGTTCAACAACAATAATCAAATGGATGGGTCATGGTTTCTCCAAACTAATCTCATTTAAAAACAAACACAAGAAATTAACAATTCAAAATAGAATTATACCTTTCTTAGTGCGCAACACTAAATAGGATAGGAACATGATTACACCCAACTCCCTGTTGAGCAAGGGCTTGCTCGCTTGGATCAGAGATGTGTTCGGGCCCCATTCATATTGGGTTAAGAATATAATTACACCGAGCTCTATGTTGGAATATGATATGGTTGTTCTTGATTATTTTTTTTTGGTGTAGTCACAGACTAGACACAACTTTTTTTGGTCTTAAGGTGTGACCTTTTTTGATCTTAAGATATGAGTTGAATCTAATGTTTTTCAATTAAATGCGTGATTGAAGGATCAATTTGTACTGAATCTCTCGTACCCTCAGTCTATATTAATAATTATAATTGCTATCATAATCCTATTAAGAAGCAAACCATACATATATTAATTAGATATAATGATACGTAATAAGCTAATATTATCTTACTCATATAAAATTACTTTTTTACCCTTCCTACATTTCATAAGACAGTTCAAATCAGGTAATTTAAAAGATAAAAGGAATATATAGAAATGGTAGAGACATATTTAGGGATATAAACATATTTTCAACTTTTTCCCCCTTATATCTGGATTTTTTTCTCCAATCTTTTCTTTATTTTTATAAAAGCTCATTAATATTTTTATTAATGTTATTTTTTATACAAATATTCATAATACTAACTTAATTTTCAACAGATCTCCTATCAACACTCCCAGAAAACTTTATACAGGCATTTATTCCAAAAGAGTTTTATACCCCTTTTGAGAAGATTTATTCTGCGAGCATGATCTCAAAGTAGAGGTCATAGAATTCATCATAAATGATGTATAAAAATATATAGAAATAATTCATCACAGAATATTTCCTATAATTTTTGTAATCTCATTAGAAATGAATTTAAATACCGGCAACTCTCAAAATTCTCTTTTATTGTTTTGCAATTGATTGTTACAGAAGCTTGTGTGTATGCATGAGGCAACATTTAATTAAAAAATAAAAAATAAAAACTAACTAGAAAAATAATTAAAATTTAAAAAGAGCATTGAGAATAATGAAAAACTAAAAAACAATGTATTATAGGCCTCATTTACGGGTATTCCCAACCTCGACCACATTAATTGCGGACAAACCTCGTAGGAAATATTAAGGCATGTTGAATATTCCAGGAAAAAACTTAATCTAATCTAACTATCACATAAAAAATTATGACTGTTTTTGTTAGCTACCCTATTTAACACACGTCAATATTTTTTAATAAGCTTCCATTTGTCCATCTAGTTTATAAGAGTATTTGGTGAACATTTTTCGTGAATGCATTGTGCCACTATGCTCTCCAATGGTGAATGCTTTGTTCCCCCCTTCCTCTTTCATGGAGATATAAAAATTGTTTTTAATATTAATATATTAAAATGATATAAAAATATTAAGATTTATTTCAAAATAAAAAAAATATTAATATTTTTTTTAAAAAACAAACAAGTTGTTAATCTCCTTCGGTTTAGATCAATACTCCTAAGCAAACTTTAGTCCAGGAATGAACTTTTGTTTGTCATTTGGAGAATTAATTGTGTGGAGTGGAAAAAAATAATTAAATCTAAAAACTTATTGTTAATATGCTACCATATGAGATGAATAAGGACGCGTTATAATCGATTTTCAAAATATAGCCTTCTTCTGAAAGGAGAACTTGAAAGGCCTTCTTGGGATCTTCACATATTCTGTTCCACTGTCCTTTCCATTCCTTGTCTTGTTTTTCCATGAAGATGTTTTCTTATTGCTGTTTCGTGTCAGGGGAGGTGCTGTTTTATATTATTTCTTATTGCTATCAACGCATTTTTGAAGCACGCCTTACCTTTCAATATTTCTTTTACTGCCTTTAACCTAAATGACGTACTGTTCGTCATCTCACGTTTTATTATAGATGAATTGTTTTTTTTTTAATTTAATTCTCAAATATTTTTTTAAATAAAAACCACATTAAAAAATAAGCACGATCATTCTCTGACACCCACTGAGTTCGACAAAGCAGCAAATGGCAACCGGTATTGCTGAAGACCGGACCGACTACAGCCAGCAATCATCTCCCTGAGGTAGAGGACACTGCCCAAAATACATAAACACAAGGCCCTTACGTGTGTAGTCACCGCTCACAGCCAGTAATGACCACATGACCAAAAGTTCTCCGATCAACAGGCGTGCGTCCCCATAGTCGTCTTGTTATTATTTTTTAAATTTTCAATCGGTAAAAGGTAGTTTTTTTTCTAGATTAATATAGATATCCAAGCCAGTTTATGCACATCATGACTAATTCTATAAATACTAAAATTAATAATTATATAAGTCTCATTATATAAACAACAAAGAACTTGAATATGAGATCACAAATAAACAAATTTTTTTATCTCAAATTCTTACAACTTGAAAAAGAAATTTTTTTTTACTCATACATGTGTTTGCTTTCGCTGTGCCAATCTTTCAGAAGAGACATGGATGGCTCACCTCTTTCTTTCCTTTTTGTTTATTATTTCAATTTCGGGCTGGTTAAAGACCAGTCGTTTTTTACCCATTGACTTGCTTTCTTGTAAATGCCCTCCACACTGTGTTAGTCTTCTTGCATTATTTTTTTTCTTTACAAGGGACATGAATTGCTCAACTTTTGCTTTCTGTTTCATTATTTTTTCAATTTTTGGTCCCCAAGGCCAGCCTTTTTTGACTTCGAAGGGCTCGTAAAATTTCCCATGGTTACGTGTTCTTTCTGAGCTCTTTCCTTCTGTATTATTATTATTTTTTAATTTTTGGGTGGTAAAAGTTAAGCCTTCATAATAAACTGGATCGGCATTACTCTTAAGATTCCTAAAGTTTGGGTTGCTAAGGGAAGAGAAAAGGAGACATGGGGGAGACAAGAAGCAACATGCCTTTCGAGAACGATGCATCTGGTTCTTTCCTTTCCATTTCAAAAAAGATTCAGTTTCTTCAGATTCTCAAATAAAGAAAAATATGTATCCATTTATTGTTGATTTCTGATGATGCAGAAACTGGAGACAGTACTTTAATCGTCAATGGTACACGCAGCTCCCAAGAAAAAACAGAAATTAGCGGTAAATTCTTCGTTTATGTATTTTACTTTTAAGAAAGTCAGCTACAAGCACATTTGCCAAATAATTGTTATTAGCGGTAAATTCAATTGTCTAACAAAAAGCATAACGGGCATTACTACTCTCTAAAACAGCGACTAACCCTGAAAGAGATCACGCCGTCGCAACTATTCAAAAATACTATAAAGGTTTTCGGGCCAGACGAATCCTATCAGTCATGAGTAAAGCTGCCGCAATTAGGATTCAAAAACACTACAGAGGTTTTCGGACCAGACGAAACCTAGCAGACAGTATAATTGCGGCTGAGTTACTATGGTTTGTGTCTTGTATATATGATCCATGTTTTCATTTGATTGTTCTGTGAGATGCGAGTTCTTTTATTCACTTTAAGTGTGAACTGTTTGTAGGCAAACGACCCTGTCTCATATCCAAAAAATGGGTCCAGTTCCATCTGTAAACATCGAGAGTGAAAAACATATCGGGTCACTCTTGAAATGGGCAGAAACAAGAGTTGAGAAGGTACTTCATTTGCTCTCCACTGTTTAAAAATGGAGTTTGGTCTGTAAAACAAGTACTTACAAAATACTTTTCTTGAGCTCCCAGTATGGTAATCTATCCAGCGATCAACTGGCCCTACTGCATTGTTTGGAAACTGTAAGCCAACATGCAAACTTCTGTGTTTCAATATATATATATTCAGACTGTACGTGTTATTCTCAATTCGTCAATTTAATCCTTGTGTTAATTAAACCTCGTATTAAATTATTGGATCAAATAAGATTACTGGATCCACTACTTTACAGAGTAACTCTATTTTATTTTTTTTTACAGATGGATCCACTACTTCGTTATTCTCAGAATTCACTTTTTTTTTATCTGCTCTGGGGCGATCAATTTTTCTCGGGGAGGTAACATGCATCATAAAAACCAGAAATATATTTATGCATTAAAATTAAGTGATATAAATAAATTAATTAACCTTCCTTCAATACTAAATAATCTCAAGCTTGAATTTTTATCTGGAAGTTCCATTCATTTTAGATTTTGGCTCTTGTAGTTGGAAGTTTGACTCATATAAAATTGGTGATCTAAAGAGAGGAGAATCATTATTCACCACTGGAAAGCCAACATCTGTTGAACTAAGAATGGATACGACATCATCAACTCAGGTTTTTTTTCCTTCTCTTTTTGGACAAGTTATGTATATTTAAAAAATGTAGGAGAAGACTCGTTATCGAGCCCATGATTGTTATAAATAGGTAATAAAAAATGAGGGTAAAATTTCAAAGATTAAAAGGTTATAGTAAAATATTTGTAATTTAATATATTATTTATAAATTAAAAAAATCATAAAAGGTAAAATTAAAAAAAATTCTTACTTGGCACACTTAAAATATAAGAAAAAAAACAAAAAAACGATAAAAATTAAGATAACATAAGCTCAAAAAATAAATAAATAAAGCAAACCTCCTAAATCTGATTTGATTTTTAAGACTAGCCACTTATAAAATCTTGAATTTGGGTTCAATTAAGAAACTTAACTTTCAACAAATTTAATTTTAAATGATGAAATAAAATAAAATATTAATAAAAAATAATAACTAAAAAATAAGAATAAAACTTGACATGAAAAAACCTAGAGGATAAAAATTGAAAAAAAAACATTAAAAATGATCTCAAACAAAATAAATTACAATAAAAATAATTAGGACCAAACTTGAAAGATTAACAAATTACAGGGATGAAATTGAAATTTTTTTGTATTATAATATATTATTTATAGATTAAAAATTGGTAAGGGGTGAAATTAAAAAAAAATAAATATAGAGGGTTAATCCAATACAATCAAATTAAAAAAATAATAAATAATTTAAAAAAAAAAGATAAAAAAATAAGAAAACATTAATTTATAAAAAGGAAAAAAAACAAGTAAATCCAATAAACCTTTTAAATTTAGTTTAATTTTTAAAGTTATGTTTAAGAAATCTTTGGCTTAGATTTAATAAAAAAAACTAATTAATATAAAAAATTAATTCAAAATAAAAAATTATTTTTTTAAAATATTTTTAAAATATAAAAATAAAAATCAACCATGATGTTAAAAATAAATCATGAAAAGCGACGATAGTGTGGTCACGTCGGCTTGCACCGGAGATGAGGATGACGAGGCTAGGAAATTTGGCTGGATGGCAGCCCAACCGAGGCTGCACTTGAAAGCCTCTGCTGCGCGCTACGCTCTCTAGCATTGTATAAAGGTGCTTTTGCTAGGAGATTTTTTATTATCTTTCGTTTATTGTTCTTGTGTTGGCTATGCAGCATGGGATATCTGACCTTACGAGGGCTTGGAAGACCTGGAAAGGTGCCTTGCAACATTGGCTGGAAGTTGTGAGTTCATACATTTTTGTGGAAAACCTTTCTTATTCTACCAAAAGTCAACTGTTTAAAATGACATTTACCCTTTCTTTCCTTGTGTTTTCACGAGTAAATTAAGTTGATCTGTCTAAATCAACTTATAGGAAGCACAAAAAGCTTCTTCTTTCAACCTCATGAAATTTAGATTTATAAGTAAAATGATGGGGTTTTTGGTTAAGACCATTTATCAAACAATGTTATTTTACAGATTGATCCACGCCATCGGGTTGGACACCATTTAAACTTTTACTTTCAGATCTGGATGACTGTCGGGAGTGGCCAACCTTTCTTCTACTGGTAACTAATGAATTCTAGAATCCTTGTTTATTAAACCTGTGCATAAATGCCTTCGTTTCTCGTTCTTCTTCTACACTTCAAATTTCCCTCTGGAATTGGAGGTTGGACGCTGGCAATGGAAAAACAGTAGACCATCTGGCATGCTCAAGGGAAAAGTTGCGTCAGGAACGCAATACATATCTTGAACCAGTATGTCTTATATTTACCCTCTCCTGAAGAATTATACTTGCTTCATCCCCTTGCCTGCAAAAACCCTGTTCTTATGCCGATCCAATTCATATTGATATGCTTGTTAGGCCTATATAGTTGTTATTTTCAGCATGTAGCGTTTCTAGATGCTTGCATGAAAAGAGCATACTGGGATGAAATGGCCAAGGGCACATCAGATCTTAGGTTTGGTTTGTTGTTTTCCTTACAACTAGGAGGTGCCAGTGGGAGCCTCTCAAATCTCGAAATGATCCCTAAAGTTTAGTAATTTTTCATATAAGTCTTAATATTCTATATATAACGTCCATTTTGAATAGAAACAAAGGCTATATTGGAGTCCATACTCTAGAGTGAAAGCAATTGGGTAATATTATATATATATATATATATATATATATATATATATTACCCAATTATATTGAGTCCCAATGGATAAACATTTCGCAATTGCGTCTCTCTGAAGGCGACTCAATTTTTGTACCATAGAATATGCACATCAAAAGGAAAATATTAAAAAAATTATTGATAGAAAATGTGTGAGGCATTATGGATCCAATTGATAAAGTATTTTGTTCTGGTAATCAATTGATAGAAAAGGCGACTCAACTTGATTTTTTTTTTAATAATAAAAACAGCTTTCATTAATAAACTATTTCCACATAGCACTCAAAATAAAAACAATATAGAATATTGACTAGTGTTCTGTATAAACAGGCTAGGCTAGATGCTGCTAGCTAGATTGCTACTCCCAATAATTTGGACTTTCAATAAATCTTTTTGAAACTTCTTCGATTATCCCTCATCTAGATAATGAAACTTCTTCGATTATCCCTGATCTAGATAATCCAAACCTAAAACTAGGTTTCTCAAAGATGTCAAGTGCACATGAATTTGTGATTTAGTTTCGAGATTTAGCAGACCTTGATAGTGATTCCATTTGTGCTGGATCTCTGTACCGTTGTTGGGGGCTTTTCTTTTAACATTAACGTTAACATGCCCAATCAATGTGTTGGTGCATTCACCAGGCAAGCAATTTGGAGGCAGTTGAATCCCTTATGTCCTTGGTTCCCAGGAGTCACAATCAACGAGAACATGACCAGGCAAGCAACTCGGAGGCAGTTGAATCTCCTGCGTCCTTGGTGCCCAGGAGACAGGGATCCAGCACAATAATAGGAGTTGTAGACGATATAAATAACAATCAACGAACACAAAACGGGCCGGCAGATGGATTCAATCGAAAGGTCAAAATCTACCATCTCAGTATTGTTTCATATGTTACAATTAAATTATTGCAAAATACAAATCTTGATTTGTAGTAATCAAATAATCCCCTCCCGGAGCAGGATCTATTGAGAAGAATCTTCTATACTATGAACCTTCTGTTAGAGATTGCAACTGCGGTTCTTGATTACTTGTCTTCTCAGCAGCGTCAACCCCGGTATGCGCTAAGTAGTATGATACTGTCAATCAGTGTCATGGCCATCTCCTTGATTCAGCTTGCTTACACCGGTGGAAAGGAAGGGGTTAGTTGGCAGTGGAAGGGCTGGATACCTTGGTTTTATCATCAAGCTCCATCTAACAAGCCTTTTGGAAATCTTGTCCACGTTGTGGAATTGCTTCTCTCCGTCTGTCAATGTGCTTTTGCAATAATTGCCTACCATTATTTGTCTCGACACCAAAACATTCCCACCCAGTTTTCTGTTTACCCTATAATCTTCGCTTTTTGTTTGTTGTGTCTCAGTTTTGGACGACGATAGCCATGAGTTTCATCCTAGTTTAAGGTTTCGGAGAAAAGCTAATAATATGGACATTTGTATGCGCTGTGATTTTTCTTTCTTTTGTTTTCTATTTCGTTCTAAGGTTTTGCTTGGTGGTCGGTCCTTGAGTGTAATAGAGAAGTTTATGTAAAATGACACTTTCGGCTCCCCCTTCATGACCTGGAGGGAGAAGAAGGCCCGTGTAATGTGCATTCCTTATTTACGTGATGTCTTTCATCTCTGTATTCCATTTTGCAATGTCAAATCTTGACTCCCAACACCAATTTTTAGCATAGATTGATGAAAGTACAATCGAGGGTGGCAATCAGGTAACATACCTTTATCTCCACCAGCTGCTTCTTGATTCATATGTTCAAAAACACCTTCAAAATGGGAAACCAAAACATTAGGCAGAAAATACATTAAAATCATGCTAAGCAAAAACTAAACTATAGCATTTTAAAAAGATACGCTGAAAATACATAAAAAAAATCATGCAAAACATTTGGCAGAAAATACATAAAAAAATATATTATTTTAATTTTTTTTAATTAAAATACATTTTAAAAAAATATGTTAAAACTAAAGTCTTGTTTATTTTATGAAAAGTAGATTTTTAAAAATTATTTTTCAAACTTTTATGTGTTTGTTGGTTTTTATAAAAATATTTTCTTTTTATTTTAAGTAGAAAACACATTTCAAAAATGTAAAAAATTTAGAAATGTCATATATATTATGTGTTGATTATATCAAATTTGGTTTTTAAATTTTTAAATAATATATATTTTGTTTTGAATCTTTTTTTTTTAATTTCATCACTTAGAATTTAATTTAATTTAATTTTTATTTGTTTCTTATTTTTATGTTTGTTATTTATTTTATTTGAAATATTTTATGAAATTATAATTATAATTATTTTAATTTTATCATCTTTCAATTTTTTTATCAGTTAGATTTGATTTTGTTTAGAGAATCTCTTTTAAATAAAAAATATATTTTTTTAGTTATACATTTAAATTTTGATTTTTTTAATTTATCTATAATTTATTTTATTTTTTGTATAGAATTTTTAAAAATATAAAAATTTTCTTTTCAACTAATATTTCTTTCTAATATGTGCAGCATTGAATAATAATTTTCTCATTTTTTTCAATCAATTTAATTTGTGTCACTATTTATATTATTGTTGAAATAAATAAAAAAATTATCTTAATAAAAAATTTAGCAAACACAACCGGATAAATGTCTTGCACGACGAGATTAAATATTTTTTAAGTTATTTTTTTAAAGTTAATGCTTTTCTTATTTTTTTTTATTTATATGTAGATTAATACTCTTTTTCTCTTTCATTTTATTTAGAGATCATAATTTAAATGACATGTATTTTTTTGTCATGCATTTAAATTCTAAAGAGTATTTTTTATTTATCTATAATTATTTTTTTCTTTTGTATAGATAAATTTTATTTTTAAAAATAATATTTTTCCTTTTTAGATAATATTTATAACATATGCATTGTGCAATCTTGAATAGTATTTTTTTATTTTTATTTAATTCAATTAATTTAATTTGTGTCTCTATTTCTATTATAATTTGATTGAATAAAAAAATTATTTTAATAAATAAACTTAGCAAACATAACCATATAAATATCTCGTCTTATGAGATTAAATATTTTGATATATGCTTGTTTTTTTTAATTATATTTTTAGTTATTATTTATGATTTATTTATTTATTAATATAAATTGTTGTTAATTTATTTGATTATATATATATATATATATTTATTTTTACTGAAACTTTTTTAATTTTAAAAATACATTGAGAAAACTGGTGGATATATATATATTTTTTATATATATAAATCTTATCCGCAGCAAAACAGTCAAATATTCCGCTTGTATGTCTTGCGTGACAAAGCAGCAATCATAAACACCACGCATTATTTGTGTAGTGGCCACATGGCCAAAAGTTCTCTGAACAACAGGCGGGCGTCCCCATCGTCGTCTTGTTATTCTTCTTTCAATTTTCAATTGGTAAAAGGCACTCTTTTTTTACACGTGTTTGCTTTTAGTCGGCAGTCTTCTTTTACACGTGTTTGCTTTTACTCGTCCTTCACTGTGTCCGTCTTCTTGCATTCTTCTTTCTTTTTATTATTTTTTTAATTGTAAATATCAACGTAATTTATGTGTCTGGATTAACTTTTTAAAGTATCAAAATTAATAATTATATAAATTTTTAATTATTATAAAATTTATAAAACTCAAATTAATAATTTTTATAAAATAAATCCAAACCTAACTAATTAAACTATATCCCACAATCAACTCTTTCTTTCCGTTTTGTTTATTATTTCAATTTCGGGCCGGTTAAAGTCCAGTCTTTTTTTATTCATTGACTTCCTCTCTTGTAATTGTCCTCCACTGTGTTAGTCTTCTTTCATTATTTTTTTTCTTCATAAGGGACATGAATTGCTAGATTCTTTCTTTTTGTTTTGATTATTTTTTCACTATTTGGTCCGTGAAAGGCCAGTCCTTTTTTGACTTTGAAGGTCTCGTAAAATTTTCTATGGTCACGCGTCTTTCTCAGCTCTTTCCTTCTGCATTATTTATTTCTGGGTGGTAAAAGTTGAGCCTCCATAATAAATTGGGTCGGCATTACTCCTAACTTTCCAGAAGTTTTGGTTGCCAAGGGAAGAGAAAAGAAGACATGGATAGCGTTGCATCTGGTTCTTTCCTTTCCATTTCAAATAAGATTCAGATTCTCAAATAAAGAAAACTATGATGATGTCTTGGCTGTTTTCTGCTTTCCTGGAGGCGATGGATCTAGCCACCTCAATCCGTTTTTGGCAACGACGGGCTATATATTATCCAAATAACCCACACACACAGAGTTTTGACAATTTTTGTCATATCTAGCTTATAGCCATTTATTGTTGATTTCTGATGATGCAGAAACTGTAGACAGTACTTCAATCGTCAATGATACAAGCAGCTCCCAAAAAGAAGCAGAAATTAACGGTAAATTCTTCGTTTATGTATTTTACTCTCAAGAAAATCAGCAACACACACGCTTGCCAAATAATTTTTATTAGCGGTAAATTCAGTTGTCTAACAAAAAGCATAACGGGCATTACTACTCTCTAAAACAGCGACTTATTCCTGGAGCCACAGCCCTGAAAGAGATCACGCCGCCCCAACTATTCAAGAATCCTATAAAGGTTTTCGGGCCAGACGAATCCTAGCAGTCAGTAAAGCTGCCGCAATTAGGATTCAAAAACACTACAGAGGTTTTCGGACCAGACGAATCCTAGCAGACAGTATAATTGCGGCTGAGTTACTATGGTTTGTGTCTTGTAGATATGATCCATGTTTTCATGTGATTGTTCTGTGAGATGCGAGCTCTTTTATTCACTTGAAGTGTGAACGTTTTGCAGGCAAACGACCCAGTCTGATATCCAAAAAATGGGTCCAGTTCCATCCGTAAACATCGAGAGTGGAAAACATATCGTGTCACTCTTGAAATGGGCAGACACAAGACTTGAGAAGGTACTTGATTTGCTCTCCACTGTTTAAAAATGGAGTTTGTTTGTACTTACAAAATACTTTTCTTGAGCTTCCAGTATGGTAATCTATCCAGCGATCAACTGGCCCTACTACATTGTTTGGAAACTGTACGCCAACATGCGAACTTCTGTGTTTCAATATATATATATATATATATACAGCGCTGTACGTGTTATTCTCAATTCGTCAATTTAATCCTTGTGTTAATTAAACCTCGTATTAAATTCTTGGATCAAATAAGATTACTTGATCCACTACTTTACTGAGTAACTCTATTTTTTTAATTTTTTTTTACAGATGGATCCACTACTTCGTTATTCTCAGAATTCACTTTTTTTTTATCTCCTCTGGGGCGATCAATTTTTCTCGGGGAGGTAACATGCATCATAAAAACCAGAAATATATTTGTGCATTAAAATTAAGTGATATAAATAAATTAATTAACCTTCTTTCAATACTAAATAATCTCAAGCTTGAATTTTTATCTGGAAGTTCCATTCATTTTAGATTTTGGTTCCTGTAGTTGGAAGTTTGACTCACATAAAATTAATGATCTAAAGAGAGGAGAATCATTATTCACCGCTGGAAAGCCAACATCTGTTGAACTAAGAATGGATACGACATAACTATCTAGATGGTGGCCAAGTGGTAAAAACTTGGGATCAAGGGGTTTGCTCCTTCTGTGGTCTCAGGTTCGAATCCTTGGTTGCTCATATGATGGCCACTGAAAGCTTACATGGTCGTTAATTTCAGGGCCCGTGGGATTAGTCGTGATGCGCGCAAGCTGACCAGGACACTCACGTTAATCTAAAAAAAAAAAAATGGATACGACATCATCAACTCAGGTGCTTTTTTCCTTCTCTTTTTGGATAAGTTATGTACATTTAAAAAATGTAGGAGAAGACTCGTTATCGAGCCTATAATTGTATTAAATAAGTACTAAAAAATGAGGGCAAAATTTCAAAGATTAAAAAATTATAGTAAAATATTTGTAAGTTATTATATTATTTATAGATTAAAAAAATCATAAAAGGCAAAATAAAAAAAAAATTCTTATGGGGCACACTTAAAATATAAGAAAACAAAACCTAAAAAACAAAAAAAGATAAAAAATAAGCTTCTCGATTTCAACAAAAAAAAAAGATAAAAAATAAGCTAAAAAAAAAACCAAGTAAACTTATACAAATTTCCTAAATTTGATTTGATTTTTAAGACTAGCCGGTTATGAAATCTTGAACCTGGGTTTAATTAAGAAAATTAATACTCAACAAATTTAATTTTAAATAATGAAATAAAATAAAATATTAATAAAAAATAGCAACTAAAAAATGAGAATAAAACTTGACATGAAAAAACCTAGAGGGTAAAACTTGAAAAAAACATTAAAAATGATCTCAAACAAAATAACTTACAATAAAAATAATTAGGACCAAAATTGAAAGATTAAGAAATTATAGGGGTGAAATTAAATTTTTTTTGTATTATAATATATTATTTATAGATTAAAATATGGTATGGGGTGAAATAAAAAAATAAATATAGATGGCTAATCCAATAGAATCAAACTGAAAAAAAAAATAAACAACATTTAAAAAAAAAGGATAACAAATAAGAAAAAAATAATTTATAAAAAGAAAAAAAACAAGCAAACCAAACAAATCTCTTAAACATGGTCTAATCTTTAAAAGTGATTATCCAAGAAATCTTTGACTCAGATTTAAGCAAAAAAACTAATTCTCAACCATTTTAATTTTGAAGGATGAGATCAATAAAAAATACAGATAATAAAAAACTAAAAAAGCAACAAAAAAAATGAAGATAAAATTTAATAGAAAAAGACTTAAGAAGAATACAATTTAATGAAAAAAGTACAAAAAATATCCTAAATAAAATAAATATCAATTAAAGTAATAAGAAACAAACTTTTAAGATTAAAAAAAGCATAGGAGGTGAAATTGAAAAAAACATATGTAAAAACCAAGTGAACTTAATCAAATATTCTAAGCCTAATAAAATCTTAAAAACTCGCAACCTGTAAAATCTTAAGTTTGGCCCAATTAAAAAGTTTATTATGAGTCAATTTAAAAATAAAAATTTTAAAAATTTATCAAAGAAAAAAATCAATAATTTAACGAACATGGATTAAATTTAATGAAAAAAAAACAAAGTACGGTGAAATCATAAAACAAAACCAATTTAAAAAAAGATCCCAAATAAAAACATTTAAAAGCAAAAAAATTAGCAATAAAAAAATTATGGATTAAATTTTATAGTAGAAAAAAACAAAGGAGAGTGAAATTCCAAAACAAATTCAATTTCAAAAATGACTTGAAACAAAAAGGTAGCAATAAAAAAAAAGAAAGAGAATCAAATTTGAAAAATAAAAAAAATTAAGTGGTGAAATTGAAGAAGTTTGCCAATTTTATAAACAATTCAAGATTAAAAAATCTTAATAAAAAAAAAGATCAAATATGAAGAACTAACAAATTAAAAGGCTATTCGTGAATTTTTAAGGGGTCGATATGAAAATCTAGATGGGGAAAGAAAAGTAAGGAAAAAAGAAAATGAATGTGAATGCTAAACCATCGTGAATAATGTGACGTGCATCACCTCACTAGGTTTGGGACATTGAGACCTTTCAAACGTTGCCCCAAAATATGATGTTTGATTGCAATATAGCCCTTATAGGCTACCAAAGTTGTATGACACTATCTAGTTTTGTTTAAAAAATTATATTTAATAAATATAATTTATAATAGTACCTTTTAGTATCTTTGAAATTTATAATAAAATCAAAGCAAGAAAAAAAAGTGAGTTTAAGTGGTGTTGTCTAAGGATATTACAGTAATTATGTTTATTTTTATAAAAAATAAAAATAAAAAATGTTTTTGAGTACGAGGCATTTAATTATTTTATTTAAGGATTAAATAAATATTTTTATCGTATTAAAAAATATAATTATCAATTTCAAAAGAGGCTATTTTCAATAATTATTTTTTAAAATATTTTTTGTGTAAAAATATATTAAAATAATTTTTTAAATTTGTTTTTTATATTAATATATAAAAATATACAAATTAATTCAAAATAAAAAAAAATATTTTTTAAAAAAATATTTTTAAAACATAAAAATAAAAATACAACCGGGATGTTAGAAATAAGTGATGACAAACGACGATTTAGTGGTCACGGCGGCTTGCACCGGAAATGAGGATGATGAGGCTAGGAAATTTGGCTGGATGGCAGCCCAACCGAGGGTGCACATGACAGGCGCCATCGGGTTGGACACCATTTAAACTTGTACTTTCAGATCTGGATGACTGTCAGGAGTGGCCAACCTTTCTTCTACTGGTAACAAGTGCCAATGAATTCTATAATCCTTGTTTATTACACCTGTGCATAAATGCCTTCGTTTCTCGTTCTTCTTCTACACTTCAAATTTCCCTTTGGAATTGGAGGTTGGACGCTGGCGATGGAAAAACAGTAGACCATCTGGCATGCTCAAGGGAAAAGTTGCGTCAGGAACGCAATACATGTCTTGAACCAGTATGTCTTATTTACCCTCTCCTGAAGAATTATTTATGCTTCATCCCATTGCCTGCAAAAACCCTGTTCTCATGCCGATACAATTCATATTGATATGTTTGTTAGGCCTATATAGTTGTTATTTGCAGCATGTAGCGTTTCTAGCTAGATGCTTGCATGAAAAGAGCGTCATGGGATGAAATGGACAATGGCACATCAGATCCTAGGTTTGGTTTGTTGTTTTCCTTACAACTAGGAGGTGCCAGTGGGAGCCTGTCAAATCTCGAAATGATCCCTAAAGTTCAGTAATTTTTCCATATAAGTCTTAATATTCTATATATAGCGTCCATTTTGAATAGAGACAAAGGCTATATTGGAGTCCATATTCTATAGTGAAAGCAATTGGTGAGTGTGTGTGTGTTACCCAATTATATTGAGTTCCAATGGATAAACATTTCGCAATTGCGTCTCTCTGTCCAGCTTGATTAATTTTTCCATGAAATTTTCTTGAAGGCGACTCAATTTTGTACCATAGAATATGCACATCAAAAGGAAAATATTAAAAAAATTATTGATAGAAAATGTGTAAGACATTATGGATCCAATAGATATAGTATTTTGTTTTGGTAATCAATTGATAGAAAAGGCTACTCAACTTGACTATTGAATAAAAACAATATAGAATATTGACTATTGTTGTGTACAAGCAGGCTAGGCTAGATGCTGCTAGCTAGATTGCTACTCCCAATAATTTGGACTTTCAATAAATCTTTTCGAAACTTCTTCGATTATCCCTGATCTAGATAATCCAAACCTAAAACTAGATTTCTCAAAGATGTCAAGTACGCATGAATTTGTGATTTAGTTTCGAGATTTAGCAGACCTTGATAATTATTCCATTTGTGCTGGATCTCTGTACTGTTGTCGGGGGCTTTTTTTTTTTTTAACGTTAACGTTAACGTTAACATGCCCAATCAATGTGTCGGTGCATTCAACAGGCAAGCAATTTGGAGGCAGTCGTCGAATCCCTTAAGTCCTTGGTTCCCAGGAGTAACAATCAACGAGAACACGATCAGGCAAGCAACTCGGAGGCAGTTGAATCTCCTGCGTCCTTTGTGCCCATGAGTCAGGGATCCAGCACCATAACAGGAGGTGGAAAGGATATAAATAACAATCAAGGAACACACGACGGGCCGGCAGATGGATTCAATCAAAAGGTCAAAATCTACCATCTCAGTATTGTTTCATATGTTACAATTAAATTATTGCAAAATACAAATCTTGATTTTTAGTTATCAAATAATACCCTCCCGGAGCAGGATCTATGGAGAATAATCTTCTATGCTATGAACCTTCTGTTAGAGATTGCAACTGCGGTTCTTGATTACTTGTCTTCTCAGCAGCGTCAACCCCGGTATGCGCTAAGGGG